TGAATAAATACCATTTTAGAATCACAATCAATTGTTTTTTCTTTATTTTGTTCAAGTTGAAATAAGATCGTTATTTCATTGGCATGTTTTTCTTGACACTACTGACAGTGGTTAATGAAAAGATTAATGAAATAATGTACACACTTCATTAGAGAAAGAAAAATCTTTACTTTTGGAAAGTGGTTAAGTGGCTTATTACTTTTTCTTTCCACTTCAATGATTTTCCTGCACTCAGAGCCAAAGTACTCCTGCTTTGGTTACCACATGTTTAGTCCATAGTATTATTATAAATAACCCTGGAAGACAGACTTCTTTTGGAAAAGAAGTTGCACAACTTTGATACTTATGATGATAGTTTTGATTATCTTAATTCCAATTTTCACCTACAATAAGTGATTTCTTTCAAATTGCTGTTTTTTTGAATGCACAATTTGCTGCATTTTAGATAACATTGTCTACCAAACACAGCAGAAACTTAAATTTTATGGTGTAAAGATGAAATAATTTGTCATTTTCAGGCATAGTGTCCCAACATTGATGAAAATGTTGGGTAGTTTAAATAATAGAAATATAAGAAAATAATGCAATTGTTTATAATATGCAATTTGATATTGTGTACATTTTTGACCAAGATATAATTATTTAATAAATAAATAGCATAATATTAACTTATGTTTTATATGCAGTGCAGTACTGATTATTATATTTTGTTTTAATCCTAAAAGTACAGTTATTTATTTCTCTTTTAGAAATATTTCTTAACATATCTATCCTGCATTGTTTTAACTGATGTTTTTCCTCCTGAATGCAAAGCTAGAAAATTTTTCTAGGTGCTCTTCCCATTCAGGGTGTCCACATGACTAAATTCTAGAGAGCACAGTGTGAAAGAAAGCGGCATGTGTTATTTCTAGCTCACCTATTCTCCACCATGCTGATTTAAGGAGACTTGAGTTCTCAGTAGAAACACATTGCACTTTTCAACTAACATAATTTAAACATGTTTGAATGAATGAGCTTTTTTCAAAGAAGGGGTTGGAGATTGGAGAATCCATATTTAATGGATGTCAACAGAGTTACTTTGATACCACCTTTACATGTAAAGACTAGAAGGAAGTAAGGAGTGATCAGAACGTAAAGGAGAGTGCCAGGAAAGGAGTCCAGCCAGCCTGTTGGGCACACTCAGGTCAAGGGAATAGAAGTCCTGCCCTCACTCTCCTTCTCCTCTCATTTCCTGTCACTGCTTCCCATTGTCAGAACCTGCAGAAAGCTCAAGGTCAAGGGGACACCTTACTAGTTTGGTGATGCTGTCTTACAAAGTACCACAAACTGAGTGGCTAAAGGAAATGCAATTTATTGTCTCACTGTTCTGTTGGTTATAAGTTCAAGATTAAGGTGTTGTCAGGTTTGAATTCTGCTGAAGACTGTGAGAATAGAATCTGTTTCAGGACAAAATGTAAGGGATTCAGGCTTTGTGTTCAGTTCTTATTGGAGAAAATATTTGTTGATGTGGGGATTTCATGATACACGTCAAACTTCCTACAGATTGTTCATTGTTCACAAAAACACTATGCTCTTTTTCCCCCCAAATTGTGTGTAATTTATTACGTGTTCACAAGGCTGTACATAAAGGGTAACTTATAAATGATTCTCTCAAGGATAACTGAGGATGTCCTCTTTGAGTCTAGCTTGACTCTGTACAGTTCATAAATAAGAAACTGCCTACCTATCCCAACAATAGAGCAAAACTAATAATTTTACTATGAGAAAGTTCTACTAGAATTCCTGTAGTTTACTTATAAATCAGGATGTTGACTGTAAGTTTAAGTATAAGACACAAATGAAGGATGTACTTTTTATTCAAGGTAGTAGTTTTAAATGATAGCATTTAAGAAAAGAAAAACAAAACCAAACAAAAACCCCCAAATCCCTCAAAGTCCCATAGCAGAAGAGGTCAGAAAAACTAAACTTAATTCTATTTTTGAGTCTTAAATTTTACCTTTCTTCAAGGACAAGGTATATGGATGTAGTGATTTTAAATGAAGAAATTTTTTCAACATGTCCATTATTAAATGCATGATCAGTTTTTATAACATAATTATGTATAAAGAATAATTACATGTTATAGTACAATCAATGCCATACTGTATATATTAAATAGTATATATTAACAATATAACTATTATACAATGTATTTAAAATTTTGTAAATATACCAACAGACCTGGATAAACTACAGCATCACATTTTCATATTTGTGTTTGATGGAAAATTCAAATTCTCAAACTCTCTTAGTAATTTGGGCTTAAATATATGGGTGGTGTTCAAAATTGGAGTGACAGATACATACCCATTTCTGTTTTGTTTAATTGTTTTTCAGCACTGGAGATTGTACTTGAAGTCTGTATGTGCTAGGCAAGCACTCAACCACTGAACTACACCCTTAGTCAACTTTACATTTTATTTTGAGGCAGGGTGAAGCTAAATTGTTGAAGGTCTCTATAATTTGCTAAAGCTGACTTTCAATCCTCATTCTTCAACCTCCCGAGTTTTGGGGATTACAAGTGTGCACCTCAGTGCTGGGCTCTGCTTTACTTCTGGAATGTACCATAAGCTATTGCTCCTATTGCTCCGTAGTCTAACACCACTGCTTTTCCCATTGTCATTTTCCCTTTCATTAAAATATAGCTATAGCTAATTTCTCACTAAACTGGTATGAGTATATATACTTTTAATATCTTCATTATACAACTGTATATTTCACCTGATTTTAAATACTTCAGATTTTCCTCCCTGAGTTTTCTATTTTAAGTAATCATA